CTGAATTAAATTCTACCCGGGCCCCGCCGACAAAAAGACGTCGTGACCTCATCATGAGAACACCGACAGGTACCCCTCCGGTTGCCGGCAGTTCACCGGGACACATTTGTTACGTCACAGACCAGATGAACAGAATAAAGGTGTGTACTTCGTAAACCCGGGTAAAATGTGTGACGTCACAGACCAAATGATCACAACAAAAGCGTGAACTCTATATTAAGTGGGTCAGTACAAGACATCGTCAGAGAAGCTGCCGGGTACCTGCCGGGTGCCTGCCGGAGAACGACCAATAAGGGTGACAAAATGCCACTGAAGGAAACTTTTAATTGTGACCACCACAAACGGTGCCCGCCAGGCTCCAGAGCCCGGCGGGAGCCGGCCGGGGCTACATCCCCGACGGGCACCGGCGCAATTGGGACCGAAGCATTACCGTGCCTGTACCTAATTAAGCGCGCCTGGAACAGGCCAAATTCCAGCAACAGTTGCGGTAAGCACCGCGAGTGTTACTACCGCCGGCCAGATAACCAGGATATCTGCTTACAGTACCTCTGATACCAGACAACTGCCTAAACCTACGGCCTACTCCACAGGATTGTAAAAGTAGGGATGTTTCTAAAATATGCATTTACTTCAATATCAAAACAGCTACGGTAAAAATAAAAAGACGTGCATCATCCCGGACACAATGCCACACCACATGCGAATGCGACGTACGGAAGAATGCGTTTTGGCTGCGAACATCTTCCAAAAAACTTGGCATCTCTTAAGCATGGGCAAAAACATCTGGAACCACTTATCAAAACCACCCCGTATCTGCATGAAGTTCCACCCCCCCCCACTGCTATTCCAAACAACACGTTTTTTCTGGACCATTCCAATTCGCCTCGTAATTGTAGGGGTGCGTCTGCAATATTACATTGACCGCGAAAGCAGCAACGGCAAAATACACATTCGTGCATCAACACGGGCATGCCCGCAGACGGCGTATAAAATTGCGTGCCGATTACACAAAGAGAACCCAGTGTTTTGACTGCGAACATGAAAAATCAGCCGATCACAACACTCCGTCCGGAGGTCCTGACCTCCTTCACGGAGTAATAAAATGTGAACATGTGCGGTGATTGTGCATGTGGGTCAGGTTTGGTGAAGCCATTTGATGTCTGAAAGAGAAAGAAAGAAAGAAAGATAGATAGAAAGAAAGAGAGAGAGAGAGAGAGAAAGAAAGAAAGAAAGAAAGAAAGAAAGAAATGAAAGTAGTAAAGGAAAGTATAACATGTTTTATTGCAAAAGTTTCAACCACCTTGCTACTTATAACACAGAATAATGCGCTGCTAAAGCCACGGCCACACATTCAGAAACTTTCCCCAACAACCAAACAACGATCGAAGGGTGGCCGAAATCGGTGACCAGGCTGACAATTTAAGCCACGCTTTCGTTTTTTTTTACGAATGGAATCAAATTTGAAGAAAATTTGACGACCGCTGCATGATCTGCCTCCCGTCCACACCCGAATGTTTCAAACATTTTGAACGGCATTCGGCTGGCAAAGCCAAATATTAGCTGACCTCTTTCGGAACACCACCCAAAGACACACGATCTTGCTTCAGACCTATTTGTACCATAAATGGCAAAGGGGAGCTGGGCAGTGTTCGGGTGGCAAATTCTACTCTGCGTGAGTGTTCATTTAAGACACCTAGCGGTTATAGAATAAAGTGCAACTTCTTGTCCTAATCCAGCATTCTTCGAGCTCCGTTATGCTGGGCTGTTTGCATTAACGAAAATCAACAATTCTCATCAGGAATACACAAATAGCACTCATAATATCTTTTAAACTTTTTTGTGCCTTGTTGTCTTTTATATCCAAAAGCTGCCCAGCCGGGCGTACTTACAACACAACCGTCATTATGCCATGCGCCTTATTGTAAATTACATAGATTATACAAATGTAGTAAACAAAGGGGCTCACAATTTACAAACGGTCTGTGTACAATACATGCATGGAAAAAAGCGAATTCACGTCATGCTTCATATATGTCAGTACAAAAGCGGCATTAACCTATTTACAGACACACACACACACACGTACACACACACACACACACACATTTACACACTCGCACACTCACACTCGCGCACACTCACACTCACACACACACACTAGCACACACACACACACGTACACACACACACACACACACACACACACACACACACACACACACACACACACACACACACACACACACACACACACACACACACACACACACACACACTTGCACACACAAACACACGTACACACACGTACACACACACACATACAAGGCACGGTATAGTTACACCTAGAATGCAAACACCCTGCAGACAACGTAAAAGCCACATAAAAAATTTACAATGCACTTATCTTTTGAGCACTACGGCCTTTATCATATATCCTCCTCAAATAGATCTATATGCGGTAGGGACTGTGTAACCATGTGTACAACAATGCTGTGTACTCTTTTCCGGCTTTTAAATTTAATCGTGCATTAAGAGACAAATGGAGTCTTCTCTCCGCGAAACCTGACCTGTCTGTCTATGGTTTGGGGCTAATCCATTTTTAATAAAAGTAGGGTATGTGAAGTTACCTTTAAGTTACTTTTGTTGAATAGCAAAGAACAAATATACGTAATATTTGAAAGAGAGAGTATGATATATCCGCACGAGTTGAAAAAATGAAAGCCGTTGTACTCTATGTTGTAGTGTTAATATAAATTAATCGTTGATTCACAACGTAGCTAAAACATATTATGTCAAACATATATGTATATACTATAACTCATTCTTGTTCAAGGTAGGTTGTGAATAACTTTTTCATCAAAGTACAGCCCCAGGCGAGGTTACATTCATCGTGAAGTTTTCGGCCTTGAGAGGTAAGCTATGGCGGATCCAACTGTTGACAGTTAACAGCGGTTTATATACGCCGGTGTTTTCCGTCACAAAACAATTCAGTTTCATAACACAAATCAACAAATGTTCCATGCAAGACTAGAGTGTTTTAATGACTACACTTAGCGTACCGCGACTGTGACTACACCCTTAAAGGCATCCAATGCAGTTTTTACGGCTTGAAAACCCGATTTTTCAACGTCAATATTCTAGTCACTTTTCTACATACTGAGTTGAAACAACACTATCCCAATTTACGATCTATATCCCACTATCCTAATTAAGGCCTTGAGCCTTGAGGTAAGCTATGGCGGATCCAACTGTTGACAGTTAACAGCGGTTTATATACGCCGATGTTTTCCGTCACAAAACAATTCAGTTTCATCACACAAATCAACAAATGTTCCATGCAAGAGTGTTTTAATGGCTTCACTTAGCGTACCGCGACTGTGACTAGACCCTTAAAGGCATCCAATGCAGTTTTTACGGCTTGAAAACCCGATTTTTCAACGTCAATATTCTAGTCACTTTTCTACATACTGAGTTGAAACAACACTATCCCAATTTACGAAAAACACCCGAACCTCTGACGGAAAACGGTTACTGGGAGGGCCCTGGGTTGATTTTTAGGGTACCACTCAGAAAATGAAGGACTCATCTTGGGGCTTGTTTCTGCAGTTTTAAAAGCCCAAGGTATGAAATACTGATTGAAATGTGCTAATGTAAAGCAGTATGTGTCAGTGTCATTGCCTTTTTCAGAATATTTCTAGTTTTGCTGCTCTGATATCGCATTGGATGCCTTTAAAAATCAGAAATTCGCTCAGTAGCAACGATATAAACAGTCCCAAACACGCCCATCCCTGCTTTGTTTACGTTGAGCTAAAGCCTTGAAGGCACTTTCTTCGCAATCTTTCCTTCAAAAGAATTGCCGGGTGTCGACAAACACAGAAAATGCCGCACGCGTTTGTGTGCATAGATAGGGACGCCATGCGGAAACTGGCTTTAGTTACCAAGTCCAGAACAAGCCTGGACAATGGAAGGGTTCTTAGCTATTGTTGTAGTGAAGGCGGCTTGCGTGAGAGATAGCAACGCTTGCTTGGTTGCTGCCTGCGCGCGCAGGTCTTTTCCCTCAGGTAGCTGCTTCTATCGTCTGTTTTTCAACAGATAAGCAACAACTCAATCAATTTCTAAATAAAGAGAGTATTTCTGAAACGCAGATATCCTGTATAAATACAACTACATTTTTTTTTTACAAAAACAACAACAACAAAAGATATGAACTTGTTTGATATGAACGTTCTTTTCAAATGTACCCCCCGCCCCAAGTGTGTAGTGGACTGGCCCTGACATGTCGTTCTTTGTCAGTGAGATCTATGGTTGAAATTGAGGGATCATCTTGTTGGCAAAGGTCAAACAATACCTGTCTACGTTCCCATGAAATGTAATCAAACGCGGATGAGTCGGCGCTGGGAGGATTTGGACGGGTTTGTTTGTGCAGTTCCCCGTCCTGTGAGTTTAGCGTGAGACAGGTGGCCGAGCGGGAGAAAAATCACAGACGCATTTTTGTTTTTCACCGTCGTGGCAACAAGTCAGACGTTCGTGTGGATTCTCCCTACTCTCCAAGCAGAGGTTGTGGGGGAATGATCGTTAGCTTTTTATATATTTTTTGTCGGTGGCTGGCGACCTACTCTGGCTAATGGATACTGCCTGGCCAAATTGATACTGTTGTTTTGCCACCGAAAGGGATCTGCTTGGAGATAGAGTCTTCCGTGGTGGACGAAGGATGGTGGTGACTCTGAAGGACATTCACACAGAGAGCCAGTTGTATTTCTGAGTTTGAAATGCCTTTCAGGATTGTCAGTGACTTTCTAGTTCCTGCAAAGAATCGTCTTTAACTAATGGAGAAGAAGAAGGATTTGACATTACATCGTTTTCGCCCGAAGTGGACTTTTATTCGAAGAGGATATTTTTTACCTGTGCTGTCTTGTGGATTTTACCTATGAAGAGAATTATTTTTTTTTTTGGTAAAGTTTAGTCGACATGCACGTGGTGTAAGTGAGATATTCTTCATATTTTTTTTCTAAACACTATGGTGTCGTCTAAATTAAGACTGAAGTTTTACGTGTTGACTCCCTGAGATGCAGTTTTGAGGGAACTGATACACGGAAGTGTAGTAAACGTGCAAGATACAAAGAAAACAGCAAGTTTCCCCTGTTTACGGAAGTTCTCTTGCTTGTTGCAACGACATTTCATCCAAGTAGAAAAAAAACAACGAAGAGAGGCCACAAAATCCGTCCAAAATGCTAAAGCTGGTGAAGAAATCCATTGAGCGCAATAAGTTCATGAAAGACCTGCACAGCACACGGGAAAAGAATGCCGAGAGAAGGGCCAGGAACGAGGGACCGATGGTTTTCAACAAGCGGCTGTTCGCTGCGCAGGGCTCGGTGGTGATCACCCTGGAAGCCCGGAAAGTTATGGTGCGAAACGCGGTGAGTTTGGACCGGGATCTGACTGCGAGTGAACTGTTATCCATGCGACCTGTGGCAGACGGTTTGAAACTGATTCATAACGGTTTGAAATACGTTAAAGACGCTATAAGCCATGTCGTAACATACGAATCGTACGATCAAGATGTTTACGTCACCAAACAACCCCAGGAAGACCTACTGTCCTGTTACTACATACTGAGTGGATCGGTGGAAGTTACATACGACAAACCCAGTCGAAACTCCATGCAAGTGCACGAAAGTAACATCATCTACGCGCACGGTGTTGGAGAATTCCTCGGTATGGTATCGCCGGAGGGCCCGAGTAGGGACCTGGCGCCGCCCGCTACCATGTACACCACCGAACCGTGCGAGTTCCTGCGCATAGATAGACAGAAATTTCACGAGAAAATCAAATCCCTCGCCAAATTGCACAAGGAAGAAAAGGAACATTATCTTAACAACGTCAGCGTACTCAAGACACTACCCGAGGTGGAGAAAGAAAAGCTGATGTCCGTACTAGTAAAACAGGTGAGGATTCTACACCTGATTTCTTTTTATGTTTTTTTTTCATGTATGGTATCTGTACATATTTCTATACTTGCGTCAGAACGACGAAAAAACGACGAAAGTTTCTTGACTGTAAACAGTTTGTAAACAGCTCTACTAGAAATCTAGTACTACATACACATGTATACAACTATAAAAACAGTGTCGCAGTTATAGCGATATAGTCATTTTGAGATCAGGCTCTACGTATAGGATTTGTTAAGTTGATTTGTTTGTTTACGGCCGGATTGTATAGCTGTGGCCTAACAACGGCAAAACTCTGTCCTTCACACTTATATATAATCTTCGGTTGTTTGTTGTAAGTTAAAAAGCTGCAGCCGATTCAACAGCTGTTTTTTTATCTATTTTAAAAAAAGACGTTGCCCATGAAGATTCCATTCGTTGTTAGGAGTTAGGTTATGATTAAGTTGTTAGTCGATTTTATAGATAACCCATAATTTCGGGAAACAGTTTACCCTAAATGACATTCATAAATTCTGTACGTAGGTAGATTTTGGCATCTAGAAAAACTTCTGAGAAACCCGTTCAGAACGGCAGCTGTTTTTTTATACGTACAGCCGTTTTTCCTTAAATTACAATAATCGCATTCCGTTTAATGGGCAAAATTACTATTCATTTTTAAAAGCAATTTTCTTATAGCTATGCGTTTACCATTTTTCCTTGTCCTAGGGTTTTTTTCCGACGATTCGCTGGTTATGTCATGTTGTTGTTTTTAGGTTAGGCCACAGCAAGTAAATCTTATGAATGGCATCTTCCACAGACCCCAAATCTAATATGATAGGGAGGTAAAAGCATGGCGGGAGAAAAATAAACAATATTCTACATTTTCAAATTTTGAAATCACTAACCTTCTAAAACAAGAAATGATACCTAAATTGTGCAAAGTTTACAACTATAACAACATTCATTTCTCACCGAAAAAAGGTTTTAATCATTGTAAATGGTTTTGATTCAGTTGAACCATCACATAAACACAGTCACCATCACATATAAAAGAAATAAAAAATACATCATTCACTGCATCAACGTAAAACACAGTAGAGTTAGTAGAAGTAGTAACTGACAAAACAATAAATCAGAGCCTTTTCTTGTCTCCTCTCTTCATATTTATCTGCCATCCTCCTTCCAGCATAGCGACAGCCATCTTTGCCCATTTTTGACATGTTGACCACTGTCAGAGAGCATAAAAATTTATTTGTGTTTTCCCAAATCAGGAAAAAATTAATGCGCGTGTGCTGTCATCCATAAAAATAACTTGCCGTGGCCTTACAGGCTCCAGCCGTGCGTAGCATGTAGGTGTTTGTAAGGCAACGCCGATACAAGACAGGAACTCTTGTTCCTGTGGGCGCTTACACTGGCTTCGTCACGCAGTCTTGCCACAGAACAAATCCCCTAAACCCCTCTTAAAGCAATACAGGACTTATAATAAGTTTAGTTTGCAGCACATAAAGCCCCACAATGCCTGAAATTTGCAACATAACGCAACGACCACCTCAGAGTCTTTTTTTTTCAGATCTCTAATTGTTGTAAGTTAAGTTGTTGGTGCTTTGAGGACCCTTGTTCGTCGGTTGTCATGCTAAAGGCCGTTTTGCTTGTCTTCCCACATAGCTTACACGCAGGGAAATAAATTGTCTGTGTTAAGTAGACAGGTCGGTTTCGCACCATTTCGTCCAAATGTATTACATGCTTTGGAAAGCTCAGAGTGCAGCTACTAACAATGGGAGGTAGTAGAGTGAAACGTATTCTGTGGTCCAGTTAGAAATAATGTAAACAAATAATCATTGAAATTAAGTAATCCCAATAGAAGACGCAAGCATTGAATGGTGTTATTTTCGGATAAGTTATAAATCAATTTTAGGAAGAAATAAATTTTAAATCACGTATTGCTATCTTTTGCAACCATATCGAGAAATAATCAGTAAAAAACGCAAAGTTTATCAAAACAGGTGAAATTTATCTGTGATCTTTCGACACTTCCAAGGGCGTCGCCATTTTGAATTAGATGTTTCACGTCACCGTAGCCAGAAAACGGACAGCGACCTTAACATTTCAAATGGGATGCCAAACACCTGTCAACGTATGATCATGTGAGAAAATTATAATTTACTATGACCATATTTGATGAAGCATATATCATTATTTTGCATCAATACCATGACATAAAAGTCATAAACTTGACAAATAACCCTTTGTCTGGCGTGCGTGTTCTTTTCAAGGATGGCCAACAAAATAAACAAAAATGTGTTATCTACCAAAGGGTTCACTCATGAAATGATAATGACCTAACACTGTTTAAAGTATCTGCATCTGTATCTGTAGAACCGTCTTTCTGCGTAACATACCAGATTCGCAGGCACGCGGCGCGGCGGCAGCTCGCTTCATTACACCGATCGAATTGTTACACCTAACCTTTGTATGCTCCACCTCTACGGAGGATGAATGATGATGATGATGATGATGATGAACCCTCGAACATCTAGGCATTGTTTAAAGCTATATAATGACAATGCGAGTTCCACTCTGCGATAGTTCTAAGAAAGAATTTAATTCTTGAATGCCCCAATCCTTGGTTGATAACTCTGGTACTTGAAGGCATGGCTATTTCTTGTTCTCTTCTGGGCTGCTATTAGGTACTTAGTAGTTGGTAGGTCCACCAGTTTATTAGTCATTTTGTACATCATGCATAGCCTGGACATTTTTCTTCTGTCTTCCAGTGACACCCACCAACAAAAGTACTTCGTCATTACGTGACAACGTGTTAAATCAATCATGTTTGAGAGAGCGTTCTGTTCGAGTTTGTGTTTACAATACGCAGAGACGTGAGGCAGTCGTTTCTTGTTGTTTGGCTGGCACTTTCGTGCTAATTTGGCGACGTGTCTTGAATAAGAGGGCTCTATCGCGTGTCAGTAGCCCTTTTACCGGTAGCATAAAGAACACACTAAGATGCGCCTCACTGGTGCGTGGATAGCGGCACAGAATGAAGGCACCTCTGGTTTAGGGGCACCCTTTGTTGTTGAACACGTAAATCTTGTCTGTATAGTAAAGCAGGCAGACTTTTTTTATCATATCTGACAAGGTTCGTTTGACAACATAACTCATACATCAACTATCTAGTTTGTCAAAGGCGCCGTAAGGTACAGTTTTACATCTAAGGAGTATGAAATGCTAACGTATTAAGGAGAGCTAACACGAATTATTCAGGTAAACAAGGTGCATAGGTATGAACTAGCTGCTGAATAGCACGAAATAACAAACATCAAATAACACTTATTAGAATGAATATTTATAACATAAAAGGTAACTATTAGATGCAACAAAACTGACCTTTTAATTTAAAAATTTGGTAAATGGACAAGGCATTTTAAATTTCTTGTAATTTAGTATTCATATCTTAGTTTTAAAGAAGTGTTAATGACCTGCCTTGAGGTGTATATGATGTGAAAAGGCCTTGTTAGTTGTTATAATCACCGATTGAAATTTTGCAAGTGCGCGCGCGTTTTTTTACTCGGATACATTCTTTGCCTTCGGCCACATACGTTAAACGTATCTATTGTTTGGTAGATCTCTTGAGCTTCAGCTAAATAACGATTCTTCTTATTGGTCAGAATTACAATGCTATCACCCTTATCTTTTCTGTGATTGGTTAACAGGAGTATCCAGCAGGAAAGGTAATACTGAGGCAGGGCGAGCCTGTACATCACCTGTTCCTGCTTGTTAAAGGTAGGTCCTTTTGTTATATATATAAATGGTTTATTGCAAATTGACACAAAACTAAAACAACATTGCAGCCTAATAATACAATTTAAGCAGTTTTAGGGAACACACAATTGTACAAAATAGCATTAATTGTTGTCAAGGATGCCATATGTGCATCGACATGTTTAAACTTTTGTTACTGTAATATAAACTTTAAAATGCATAGAAACTATTTGTTTAGCGACTCAGTATAACATTAGATTTGCTGTATTGTGGTAGGCGCGGGGTGCTATGGGTTGTGCATTTCCAACGACACGACATATATAGAGTAGTTCTGTAACGGTCAATGGTCTTTAAACCATCATTGGACCGACAAAAATGCCACCTTTAAGGTCTGCAGTCACTCCGTCACCAAACACGTTTTCAGCAAGCGTTCCAGTTAAGTTAGCGCAAACATGAGACGTGGTTTGGTTTACCTCATGCATGACAAGTAATGCTAAATTTACAGTTCAACAGAAAGCATCTAGTCCAGTGAAAAACAGCCATGGTTTAAGACACTCACTCACTTTATGATGGTATTTTTTTTATATCAATGTTTCCATATAATAAACCATTGAGGTGATAAAATTCGATTTCTTTTAGGTCGCTGTGAGTGTCTAAGGCAGGTTACAGTGGACGAGACCAAGAACGAAGAGGTTTTCAGAGTCGGACGCTTGGATGAAGGTAAAATCTATTCATCTAGAAGCAACTCAAAAGTTTGCATGCATTCCAAAGAATTGTAAACAGTAAATTGTAAATGTTCAGATTTTTTCGATACAATCTTATATATCATTGATAACGATGACGTAACTGTACTTAGAAAGGCAGTTAACTTCAACACAGGGCTCGAAATACTGGGTGCATGTGCACCTTTACTAGTAAGTGCACCCAAATTTGGAGCTGTGCACCCGATTTTTTCCATAGGTACACTGGTGCACCCAAATATTTTTGTAGGTTTACGCATGTCAAGATGTTAAATGTTGAGTTAAATGAATTTCGACCCCTGCCTCATCCAGAATGTTTTTGTTCTTGTTATGCCGCTATATGGAATTGCATTAGATGTCTTGAAAAGACAACCTAACGCTGGTCATATATTGTCTTGACAGGGGATTTTTTCGGCGAGGAGGGATTTCTGAACGGTGTGGACAGCTGCTGCAGTATTGTAACCCTCAGCTGTGTGTCCTGTTTTATCATTAACAGGTGAGAGGTTTTTTTTTATATATGCCAACATTTCATGGCCAAACATGGCGACGGCACACTCACGTTATATTTTATGCCGCTACCAACACAGAGTACAAATACAAGGCAGGAAAATACTCATTTTCACTGGAGTCAAGTGAGGAAAGTCGTGTAAAGTGCCTTTGGAAAAAATTGTTTTAAACGACCTTTCTAACATCTGCTTGAAGAGAAGTTGTCGCTAGCACCATGCGTGGTGGTTTTCTAACACTTATTAATTATTTATCATAATATAGAATAATAGCATAACAGCCAAGGTTTACCTATTTATGGACCTTTCTTACATCTGCTTGGAAACTATTGGTCACTAGCACCTTGTTTGTTGGTTTTCTAACACTGATCATTTAATTATCATAATATACCATAGTAACATTATAGCCAATGTTTTGCGTATTTCCTTTATCTCCCATTTGTGCTAAATGATTTATTTCTCTATTTCAGAACAAACTTCGCTTCCATCGTCAAGGAGCCGCTTGTCAACTTACTTACAAGTTATCGAAAGGCGGTGTCCAGTGATGACGTCCTGAAAGAACGAGGGTACGACAACGCCATCTGGCGGCTGTACAAGCACGGCACCCTGCAGGTGGTGCAAAAAGAAAGTGGTCAAAACTTGACGTCTGACGACAACAGACCTCTTACTGTCACAAGGAAGGCGTCTGATACAACGTGAGTGTGTAGTACAGCTTGTTATTAGGTAAAAAAATATCCTCTCATTGCTAGGTCCCACAAATAACCCAACTGGAGCAAAGTTGGGGGGAG